AATGTAGGTACCAATTTTGAGATAAGTTTGTAATAATTAATTTTTCATATTTTTTCAGTTAATACCTACCCTCTTAATATTATAATTTAACTAAGATCTTATGCTTTCCTATGGACACGATTCAAGGAGGGAGTCCTATGGCTGTCATCCAAGCCCTAGATAATAGTTTTCCAGTAGCAACGGCCTTTAAAATTCAAGTATAATAATTTACTGTATAAGTTTTTCTCCTTTTTCGTAGTAGGTGTCGATTTAAACTAAAAATTTTTATTTCACTTATTGATTTTAGCATTTATATACAGTATCAGCTAATGAACACTTTCCAATACGCTTGGCTAGCATCAAAGAGAAAACTAAAGAGTTAGCGCATTAATGCGATTAGGAAACGAATAATATGAATGTTGCCTTGTGTGCTGTGTAATATAATAATATGAACAGGCACACAGTTGCGATGCATCCCCACGTAGCCGGCTGGCTACGTTCATAGTATTCTATTCCTTCTCCCACTAATGCTAACTCTTTCTAGTTTTTACTTGGACATTAGCAAAACGTATTGTATAACATTCAATAGCTGTCACTGTATTATCACAAACATCTCTTAATAACTAAATGATTTCATTTAATAGTTTCTTTTGTTTTTTCAGTAAAATAGATATGGCTAGAGTTATCCTCGACTTTAAAATAAATTAAATAAGTTTTATAATTTTTCAAATAAAATACTTTATACAATTTTTTGTTTTTTTTACCGCAGAGCCAATTTTTTTTCAGATCTAACCTCTATAGGTGAAAAATAAGTGATTCAGGTAAAATTGAAAAGTATATTACATGTTCTTTTAAATGTGTTGTTAATCCAAATGCTGCTCTTATTGTAATAGCTAACAATAAAAGAATTAGTATTATTTTTAGCTATCAAAATAAAAATAGCGCCTGGATTTACAGCTCGTTTAATCGAACATGCAATATACTTCTCAATTATTGCCGAATGAATATATTTAAAAATTCCCGCCATTCCGCTGCTGGAAATTTGCGATTTTGGCGGGAAATTTAAATTTCGCCTTAAAATTATATTTGAATTTACCGCCATATCGAGTTAGTTGAGCGGCCAGACACATACGCATTTTAGCACTGCAAACTTAGTGCCAACTCTTTAACAAGTGAGATGCACTACTACAGGGGATATATGTGGTAGGATATTAATATTAGCCGAACTGAGAGCATAGCGATAGCGGTGATATCGTAGTTGCACACATGTTTACTTTAAAAGCACGGCTATGCATAATACAAAATAATAAGTACTGTAGATAGAGTTAATTGAAAGGATACAGCAGATATAAATGGTACCTCAAATTACTTCGGAAAAGGTATCTTTCAAATAACGATTTAAATGTACCATACACAGTTCTGCAAAGACAGCAATCACTCATAAAAATCAAGTTATGATGTCACTAAAACACTTATTAGTGTTCTGAAATGTCATTAAATAAAATTCCGGTTTAAACCACGACCTACAACAATATAACACCTGATTAAATCATGTGTTTAGATTAGATTTGTTTAGATCAGTAGGTCAAATATAGACCTAATTTGTTTCTATAACATGAAAAATGTAATGTTCGAGGCCCTTTTTCATGGGAGTAATATTGGTATCTACTAAACCGTGAGGGAAACATGGTCGGTGAAATAGGAAAAAGCTGCTCACTTGAATGAACAATTTAGATGAATAAATTCGACGGTATCAGGGACGGTTTTTAAAATATTTGAAATAAAACAAATTGAACCCATTCCTTATTTTTATTACAGCGTCCTTCTTTGTGCAAATACAAAATAAAGGATTTATCGTTCAGTTATTTCCTTTTCTTATGATAAGACGCTTTAATTCAGAAGGACCATCATCAACTTTCTTTAAGATACGGAACTGTTTCCTTTAATCGCTTACAGCCTCTTTTGTCCTGAATATAACAATATTATACATATACAATATCATTTATAAACGATTTAGAGTTAAAACGGAGCATCGTCAGAAATTGTTTTCTTACGGTACTGTTACCGGGATTATAATTATTGTATTTTGTTCAAAATAAATCATTTAAAAATATATATGGGAGGAAAAGAAACTACAAAATTTTTAATTTATATATTTTTTTAATTTGAAATAAATTTATCTAAAATTGAATAGTAAAACGAAGATTAAAAAAACATTAATTCAGCCATAATTAAAAAAAAAACAAATACGCATAATCTTGCATTTCTAAGTTTTAAATTAAGTTCAAAGTATCCCACCATTATTTACAATATAAAGTCCTTAGTTTTATTTATTTGATTGCAGCAGCAATTATTTTCTGTGGGGTTGTAATATACTTTGTCTTTTAAGAATTCACATAAAAAGAATCAAACTGGTTTAAACAAGGGGAGCGAGGTGGTCATCTTAGTCCATTCGTTAAGAGATATATAATACTAGTATATTGCTAAATTCGAAATAAACAATAGTTCCGTATTTAAAAAAAAAAGCAGATGCAGGTCCTTCAGAAGCGAATTTTAACCACGCCATATTTTTAGGATATTTTCAGGACCTTAAAATATTATAAAACTTTTCTAAAAGTTTGCTATTTTTAAAAAAATATGGTGTGCTTTGCTGACTTTTTTTTTTTTTTTTTTTCTAAAAACTAATGTGCCACATTTTAAGACTGTTTTTAGGGCTTTGAAGAATTATAAAACATTCCGAAAACATATCGCATTTCAAGGACCTAAAAATAGCCTAAAAATGTGTTGTGCTTGTTTTTAGAAAGAAGCTTTAATAAACAACCAAGGTGCTCTGATGGCTTCGAAGCCTAACAATATCGCATAGGTTTAAAAACAATGCTAAATCAATTTTTTATTCGGAAATATAATCCCAGTAAGTGGTGGATCAAAAAAGTCGACCCAAAAACAAGTGAAAAGCCCAAAAAAGGTTCATTTAAATATTCAGGAATAAAATTTATCGATTATTCATTGGAAATTGTACAGGGTGTCCCATTAGTGCGGAATTATTCAATATTTTAATTTGTGTTATAGACACGCAAACAAGTTTTAAATAAAAGTTATATGGACTTAAAAAAAATAGATATTTTTAAAATATTTTTGAATATACAGAGGGTTGCGTTTTTGCCTGGCAAATAAAAATGTATGTTTTTAAATAGAACACCCTGTATTTTATTTTAAGAATGGTTTGGTAATACTGTATTCAACCCTAAAATATTTTTAAAAAATATTACATTGTTGCCAAGCAATTTTTTTAAAATTAGAGAAAGATGCAGACTCCAAATTAAATTATAATAATTTAGGTAAGTTTACGTTGATTTCAAAATTGTTTAATATACAGACTTATAAGATACTAGGCTAATGAATAGTGGTTATTGAACTGGTTCATTTTACTGTATAGTGTATTGAATCATGTCTTAAATATGGATAATTTTAAGTTCAAATTATTCAGTTTTTCAAATGCAGCAACCTGTATATTCCTTTTAAATTTTCCTATACAATAATACCAATATGTTAGCCAATAACACATATTCCATTGATCGATAGCTGTTTTATTATTAGAAATACGAAGACATTTTTAATATAAAAGTTGTATGACCTAATTTAACAATTATTTTTGAACGAGGTGCTGACCAAATCTATAATTTTTTAAAGCAAAATACCCTGCAGTTAGTTATACATATTTGATTGTTTTCACATTGTCAAACAATTTTAATTGACTTCGTTCATTTGTTATGTTGTATATAGGTTGTGTCAAAATATGAGGATACGATTTTCTCAATTTTTTAATTGAAATACCCTGTATTAATAAATCGGTGGTATAAATAGGGTATTTCATTTAAAAATTGAGAAAATCGTTACCCCGCCTTTTTATACACCCTATATATAACATAGTAAAGAAATGAAGTATATTAAAATTGTTTGACGATGTGAAAACAATCAAATATGTATAAATACTTGCAGGTTGTTTTGCTTTAAGAATGTATGTTTGGTAAGCCCCTTGTTTATGGACCTCGCTGCATATTTAAGAATATTTATTAAACATGTTCATACAAATTTTATATTTTTTTTTTCTTATTTCAAATAATAAAACAGCTATCGCTCAATTACACGCTGATGGGACACCCTGTATATGTGTTATTGTCTAACATGTTGGTATCGTTGGATAGATAAATTTATAGAAAATTTGCTAAACTAATATACAGGGTGTCGCATTTGAAAAAATTGAGTAAATTGAACTTAAAATTAACCATATTTAGTACATGTTTCAAGATATTCTGTATAACATAAACCAGTTCTAACACCACTATTCGTTACATCAGTATCTTATAAGTTTTGTATTTTAAACAATTTTAAACTCAATGTAAACCTACCTAAATTGTGATAATTTAATTTGGGGTCTGCATCATTCTCTAATTTCATAAAGAAATTAATTGCTTGGCAACCCTGTCATATTTTTTAATAAGATACTAGGGTTGAATACAGTATTACCAAATCATTCTAAACTGAAATAAAATACAGGGTGTTATATTTAAATATTATACATTTTTATTTGCCAGACAAAAACACCCTGTATATCCAAAAATATTATTAAAATACGTATTTTTTAAATATCTTTTATTTGAAACTTGTTTGCGTGTTAATAACACAAATTGAAATATTGAACATAATTACGCACTAATACGATGATTTGAATAAACTAAATTGTAATTAAGGGAAATTTTGGTAAAATCACTGAAATCGTATCAAATTAAGGGCGAGTTCGCAGATTTCACCGAAATTATATAGAACCATAGGTGATTTCGTCGAAAGCATACGAATTTTTTGTGATTTCCGAAATACGGGTACTTTTTGACCTTAGTGACTCTTACCCCTCTTCCTTGAATGAATTAACCTACAATTTTTGAGAAAAACTCGTGTACTAAAATTAAAATTTTACTTGGGGATTACTTTGGGAACTAACAACTTTTTCTTTTACGTTACAGTTAAATCAGACGACATCTTCAGGCGAAGAACTAAACGGTTTCATAAAAAACTCCTCGATATACGTAACTTCTTTGACCGCCACTGGAAATTTAAACAACAACAGCACCGCAAACAGGGCAGGAGGAAGAGGTGGAGGCAGCGTATTAGGCACCACCACAGCAGTTGTGGCCGTCAATAGAGACACAGTCACTACTTCCAAACAATTGCACAACGGACGGGAACCTGCAAATGAGCTGCTCGCGAAGGAACCAAACGTCGAGAACACCAACAACGAGGTACTGGCCAAGGTGCCGAACGATGTTAGAGCGGCTACACAGGTATGAAATATATATCCCATCAATAAAAATACCACACCAAAAAGAATTCACTCCAAAAAAAATTCCCCACCCCGAAATGAATACCCCAAATGTTTGCCAATAATATTGATATGCTAAATTATCTGTTGTACGCTGTTGGTACCGGTATTTACTTTACACTATCTTTTACTAGAGCAAATGCTGGTTAATTTTTTTAAACTTTTGTCTCACTACCTACTAACATTTCTGACTACATTGTTTGCCTGGAAACAACTATAAAACTTTCTTTACTCATTAAAGCAGCAATAATCAAAATTGTATCTCTAACCGAAAAAATTCAGAAATTTAACTGTCTTCTACCGAATATTTTCTCAATTTTTAAAAATTTTAACCGGAATTCGAACTAATCTGCTTGAATATGACTGAAGCATATTAAACAGGTCATCTTACCCTTTAATACAGGCCAAGGTATCCTTTTTTGTAGAGGATCGAAAAGAAAAATTTAATGTGGACCACAGGCCAAAACAGAACAATATTTATAAAAAAAAAGGGAAGGCGTTTTTATTAGAATAAAATAATGACAAATTATAATTTTCAATAAAGAAAAAACTTCTTATAGTCACAATAATTTTACAACTCTAATTAAAGAGAAACTTGGTATTGTCTTTAATTTACAAGAAGAAGGTGATTTTGTTGCTACGCATACCCTTCCTTTGGTCAGTCCTAGTAGACGAACTTATAAAAAGGCTAATATCTGCAGACTTCTGCTGCCTATTTTTTGTGGAGGGAAAACCGCTTAGCACCACATATTCGGTTTATATGTGTGGGTAGTGTCAGGCGCTATTCCGACTAAAATCCTCTTGTTTCTTTCTCCAAAAAGGTCGACAATAAAATGAAACTGACAGCCTGCGTTGACCTCTTCGGCTTCTTTTATGTATTATTTTAGTGCATCTCTCTTCTCTCGGCTCGTTGTAAAGTTTTTTCTTCTCTTTCCTTCGCATATTGTGCGACTCACAAAGCTGTCAACGTTTCTAACATGTTCTTCTTTGCTTATCATGTATCCAATTACATTTTCCAGTGTTAACCTTTAACTTGTGACCATCTTCTCTCTTTCGTTCTGCCATCTCTGGCATGAGGAAACAGTGTGTTCAGCGGTCTATATTATTGCAGAAGTAACATAGCTTATCCACTTTTTTACCAATAGCGTCCCTGGCCGCTTAGTATCGTCCAGTAGTTCGTGTACCTGCGTTTACAGTTAACCCATTCCTCTATACGGGGGATCAGTGTCTTTGTCTACTGTCCTTTCGTGATGTTTTCAGATCACCTTTCCTGCCATACCCTCTCTTGCTTATCTTCTTCCTTCCTCGTGTCATGTTCTACTACATGTTTCCCCTCGTTCGTCAACAAATTCACGCGAGTAAATCCTGCTATTATATAGGTCGCCTCCGTGGAAATATTTCTGTAACCCATTAAAGTCCTGAGTACCATTTTGTTGTATGCTCTAACCAACATGTTTCCATATTGTTTACTTTAAGCAACTCTGTCCATACTTGCGCACCATACAGTAGTATAGATTTCGCAACGAGGCTTCTTTTTCTACTTTTGGGTCCTTTTGGGATTGGCAGAATTCTAGTTAGCGCGCTAACTAGCGTTGGCATTTTCTTCACAGTCCTGGTAATGTGGTTTCTGAAGGTTCCAACCATATGGCTAGATATTTCAGGCAGTCTTTGGATTCTATTATTGATCCTTTTGTGTAAAATACCACACCCGATTTGTCTCTCCTTCCCTTTATTACCATTGCTTCAGTTTTATTACCTGCCAGTTCCAGTTTATTTTCCTCAATCTCTTCTAGGGCCTCGTTGAGGGTAAACCCGCCTCCAGGTATTGTAATGTTCAGAATAGGGTTGAACTGTATATTTCATAATTTGGGGCCTAGTATGAATCCTTGTTTCACTTTTTTCGTTATATCAATACATTTTCATCAATTACTACCATTCTGGCAGATAAATAGCTATGAATGAAAGCAATTAGATAGCTATGAATTAATGCAATTAGATACTGCGAAATTTCTAGAAAAATGAGTTTATCTGCAATCAGTTTTCATGTACTGCCATTGGGGCAAGTCTGCCTTTCCTGGATCTATACTGTCTGCCTGATATACCTTCTTTTATGGCCAGTTTCTTTTCTAGTCTGCTTTTAATAACCTGCTCATACAACGTCCCCATTACGCTTATGTGACAAACTGGTCTGTATTTCTGGTGTTCTACAGTGTCAGAGGTGTCTTTCGGTTTAAGGATCATTTTAACCTATTAAAAATCTATTGGAAATATGTTATCTCTCAGTAATCCATTAAAGGTTCTTAGTATGTACTGAGAGATATGCTTAACGAACCCCTTTAAAGTCTTTGGGAGTACTTTGTCTATTTTTGTGGCTTTTTGTTTCTTTATCCTGTCCGCTGCTTCCTCTAATTCCTCTGTGGATATTTCTGGCCCTTTTACATTCCCTGGTGATATGAACTCTACTAGCTGTTATTATTTGGAATAATAATGAATAATTTTTTAGTCTTCTAATTGCAATTGAGTTCGTCACGGAGGGTTTTCCATTGTTCTTTTTTTGATTCATTATTTTTCTCTTGTCTTAAAGATTTCATCTAGTTCTTCGATTTCTACCTCATCACGATTTCTTCTACCTCTTCCTTTCACTAGGATTTTCCTTGCGTCGTTACACCGCTTACTTGCTACTTCGATGTCTTCGTTCCACTAATAGAGAAAGACTCCTGCTGCCTAGGGTATGCTCATGACCTGTCGCTCCTCGAAACAAACAAGTTCGCAGGTACAATATCGGAAGACACACAAACCGCTCTAAACATCGTTGACCAGTGTTGCAGAGAGAAGGAACTAACAGTAAACTCTCACAAAACGACAATAGTCAACTTCACAAAACGAAAGGTACTATCCGGACTAAAGTCACCAGTACTGAAAGAAGTGGAAAAGGAAAATTCGTTTTCTCAAGAGACCAAATACTTGGGTGTCATCTTTACCACAAGTTAACATGGAAGTTAACTAATACTTGCAAAAAGTCACCCAAGAAAGCACAACATTCTTTAACTTAAGTCGAAAGTTGTGCAGAAAAAATGGGGACTACAACCAAAAATGTCTATTCGCTGTTTGCCAGAATCATAAGGCCTATAATAACCTACGGGTCGAGGGTATTGTGTTCAAAAACTCGGTAAGCTGTAGCCATTCGACAGATCAACGATATTCAAAGGCAAGCATGTTTGAGTGCCACGGGAGCCATGAAAACCTAATACCATTACACATATTAATTTAAGGCGAAGCCAAGTCCGTCACATACAGACTGCACGAAGGTCCATCACTCATAAGTAATCTGCATAGACGTGTCTATAGCGAGCTATACAAAGAGATAAAGAGAAACGGAATAATGGGAATGCCTTCAGATAAAATTCCCTCAAAATATAGCTTTCAAAAGCAATATGAAGTAAGTATAGCAGACAGGAAAGCATGGACGGGAGGACCTCCTATTCTCGCAGAAATCACCTAGTATACAGATGGATCCAAAACCCATGAAGGTTCAGGAGTAGGTAGATATAGTACCAAGCCAAAGACAAGGATATTACTGAGCTTAGGTAAACATGCTACAGTAGTCTAGGCAGAAATAGTTGCAAAGAGGTATTCAGACACAAGATAAATGGAAAAAACATTGTCATATACTCAGTCAAGCAGCGTTAAAAGTACTTAGTTCCATGCAGGTACACTCAAAGTTTACGTGGAACTGTTTGGAAGCCCCAACAGATCTGGGTACTCTAAACAGACTAACCTTAACCTGAGTACCAGGCCACAGAGGACATAAGGATAATGAAGAAGTTAATTTACTAGCCCGAGAAGGAGCCTTAAAGGCTCTTATTAGCTTAGAGCTCTTCTGTGGTGTCGCAAAGACAGCTATCAGAACATGCATAAAACAGTGGACGTTAAAAAAAATTCAGGAACTCACCTATCATCTACTAATTCATAATAGGAAAAATACTAGAGTATCTATTAGCAGGGCATTGTAGGTTTAACAAAAATATGAATCGGTCTGGCAGAAGATACCTTGTGCCGATTCTGTCAGGAAGAGAAATAAACTACAGAGCAGCTAGCTACGCCAGAAATAGGGTTGCCAGCTGTCCTTTTTTTAAAAGGACAGTAACTTTTTAAAGCAAAATGTCCTTGTGTCGTTTAAAGCTTAAAATGTTCTTTTTTACGGCAAACGTCTTTTTTTACAGTACATATCTTTGGAAGGTTTGTACAAAAATATAAAAGCTTTTAGAAGCTCGGTAGAATGACGAGGACGATTTTTTGTTATAATTTTTTATTAAAAGTTCAGAGAAGGATGAGAACTTTTTGCATATCGGAGCCCCTGTCAGTAGTCCTTTATTCACTTTTCAAAAAGGTGGCAACCCTAGCCGGAAAGTTCCTTCCTAGTCCATGAAGTCTACCAGAATTAGATCAAACCAGACAAGGTACTCTAAACAATGATTAAAGATATTCACAATAGATCTAAAAAGGTCGAGGTGGGAGAGACTACATGGCCCACAGTCCTAACGAAAGCCTATCTGATCTACGCCTAAGGTGTTTTCCAAATTAGTATCGACAATCCTTGATATACAAAATGGCCTACCGAAGAGTGACATTATTTTACATAACCAATGAAATGGTTTTACATTTCAATTACATCGTTAAATTTAAAACTAAAATTCCTTTCAAATGAGCTATCACTCGACCACATTTGCAATTTAAAATAGTCAAGAAGGTACTTGCCCTGTCTTAAAGTTGAAATAAGATATAACATTTTTATACCTAACGAAAACGTGTTGGTCAGAATTAAAAATTAATGTGTTCAAAGGCAAATAAAAAGAATTAAAAAGGAGGGGTAATATTTATAATGTGTACCTACTGTAGTATTTGAATTACAGAAGTAATTGGATACACATATTGATAAAACTCCCTATCAGTTTAAGCAAATCAAAATGTTTACATGATATTTAAAGTAAGAGTGCAGTTGCGATTTCAACTCATTATTAATTATAGTGGAACAGAATCTGTGGTGAGCCATTTATGAACATTTTAATAAATTCTTTGTAGTTTATTACAGTTACAATTACAATTTCATCAAAACATTTTCAAAAGAAAGTTTGCCTGTTCAATTTCAATGAATCAATGAGCAACCATTGTTACTATAACTTTTAATTGTTAAAACAAATTTTAAAACACATTTGAAATAAATAACAGGTAATTATAAAACTGAGAGACTCGTAACTTTGTCATGTTGTGAAACATGTAAATATTGCGCACAACGATTACTAATTCAAAAAATTAGTAGATATTTAGAAAAACCCTTTAAAAATTATGCCAAAATTATGTTTCTTTTTTATACCGTTTTTTTCAGAGTGAACTCCTGAATGCGTGCGAAAGTCCGGTTCACAGCAAAAAACTTGGAGATCGACGGAGTTCTTCTCCTTTCCAGAATGGACGAACTGAGCTCTTGTTAGCTACAGACGACAATAATAAAGTGAGAACCACGGCTATTGTGGAAAGCAATAATAATAAATTGAGCGTTGACCTCGAAAACAGGTAAGATTTTTTTTATATACGAAGTCTATAAATTAAGTAATGTGATTGGCAACTTAGCGTGCGATCTGGCAACACTTGGGACTTGGATCAGCATAAATTTTGAACTCGCAAGAATCATTTGAATGTTCGTAGTGTTTTTTTTTAATTAACAGCTTTTCTGGTGCGTGTTAAATTGAGTGACATTAATTTCGAGCAATAGTGTGATGTGAGGTTTTGCTTCAGACTTGGGCAGAGTGCAACGAAAACTTAACAAAACTTTAGCACACCTGTGGAGACAGTGTTTTGTCAAGTGCCCTGGTTTTTCGCTGGTTTAAGAGAGTCTATTGAAGATGAACTACGTAGTGAAAGGTCTTCATCTTCAAGAATCGATGAAAATGTCCGTGATATTATACGTTAAAATAATCGGGGAACACTCGCACATGTTTTCATCATATTTTAAACGAATTGGGGATGAGAAAAATCTGCGCAACAATGGTTCCAAAAAACCTTACGCAGCACCAAAATAACATTAGGAGGAAAAAGTATCCTGACTTTTTGGAATCGATTGAAAAGGATCCCCATTTTATGGAACGTGGGGCATTACTGGTGTTTGAAAACGATCCGGAAACCAAGTGCCAGAGTATCGAACCTCTTCAAGTTCCTCTTCTAGTCCCAAGAAAGTAAGAGTGACAAAGTCGAAGAACAAATGCATGCTGATTTGCATTTTTGATAGCCAGGAAATCATCCACAAAGATTTTGTGCCTCAAGGCCAAACGATCAATCAACATTTTTACCCAGATGTTCTTGAAAAAGGGTCTTGTATGTGAGAATAAAACAACTGGAGTTGAATCAAGATAATGCACCTTGTCATATAGTAATTGTAATCAATAATTTTTGCTCAGTAAAACATTTCTGTGGCTTCGTACCTCCTTATTCGCTCGACTTGAATCCTAGTGACTTTTCCAAAGATTAAAAGATTACTTTAAAGGACCTCATTTTGGGACAATCGAAAACATTTAAACAGCTGGAACTGATTAGCTGAAGGCTATTCCAGTGTCCGAGTTTCAGCACTGGTATGAGAATCGGAAAGACCGTCGCCTGCGCTGTGTGGCTTCCCGGGGAAATAATTTTAAGGAAGATCATACTGAATTGTAATTGCCTTCGAATAAAAATAAAAATCAGTTTCATTACTTAATTTACACATCTGTATTTTTCAATAATAGGAAGGTCTGAATGTAATATTTGTGGAAAAAGCTTCAATAAAAGGACTAAAAATCTTTTAGGAAAATATTTCTTTAATGACAATCTATTTTTTTGTGAAAGTCATAATCAATAAAGTCATAATAATTATTTTGTTTTTGCTAACTACTAAAAAACAATAATACAGGGTATAACAAAAACTACAACATAAATCTGATTCGCAACAATATTCGCCTATATGTATAGTCACCGTTTGCGCCTTCACATATTTATTAAGGCTCATGGACTAAAAATGGGCCGATGAGGTAGCGCATGTTCTCTCAGAAATTATCATTTAAAATAAATTTTGCCTGGTTTTATAAGTATTTTAAAAGCCGAATATTCTTAGCAATTTAAAAAACTTGCCTGGCCATTTCTACTTTTATTAATTGAAGGGCCAGTCTTTTCATCTTTGAGTAAAGTTGAAAGTAACTATTTGCTGATTAATCTATAGACTATTGTTCGCTAAGATGTTAAGTAAACATACGTGTAACTTTACTCAGAGGTGAAAATATCGACCTTAAATAAAAAAATATATATAATAAAAAATCGGGTTAGTATTAAATAGACCAAAATAGCTTTAAAAAGAAATAAATAAATAATAAAAAATACTTTAAACTTTTATAAAAGATAATACACACAAAATAATATATTATCACACGTTTCAGAAAACGCAATTTTTAAAAATAATCCATAATCAATTGTAATAGTTTTCAGCTGTAAAAAAATGTACTTTAAAATATTTTTTCTTCACCCACATGGATATTAGCTTATCTACGCACAGACTACAAAACAAAAAAGTATGCCATTGCGTTTAGCCGAACAAATATACTTTATATCCATCCAAGTAGCAAACGAGATTTTTATTTTACAATATTAACGATAGATAAATTTGGAAGACAAAATAAATTTAATTATGTACCTACTTATCTTGTACCTACAGAAGTAATTATAAATTATATTTTTAAAGATAATGTAAAGGAGATAATGTACCAATATATTAAATGGAAATTCAGTTTAATAGTGTGATGTTTGTTTATTTTAAAACAACAGTTTATTTATTAATAATTTATTTAAACACTTATTTATTTTAAACAATACTATTTTAATTTATATATACCTCGAATGCCTTTAAACTGATCACTTTTTATATTCACCACTGCCTATCTACTAATTACTATTTATCTGCACTGTCCATATAACTACTGATACTGATGGCTCGCCTCCACCAATTTATATACAAAATTGGTGGTCGAGAATGCTCCCCCACCAAAATTGCCAGTATGTACCAGAAACTTTATCACGTTCTAGAAATAGTATCTCGTTGACCCTGGAATGTTCGCGAAAGTGTCTCCACCATAGTCGTCCCATAGGTTTGGTCTTAAGGGGTTTAATTATGTATAATAATGGGACAAGTTGAGCCTCAAAGGCCAAATAAGACAGAGAGGGACTTGTAGGGTTAGAGCATGACTGACTAATGAAATGGCTCACATAACATTGCCCCCTCCTTAAGAGATAGTTCCTCCTGGAACTTTTACGAAACTAAACTGGAATGGTTGTATTTGCAACTGAATCCTCTTTTACAATTTCCAGTTGCATGGAAGTAACAAGGGACTGTCTTCGCTGTATCCTGGGCACTGGGCGAATGGCTGCAGACCAATATCTGAACTCCGGTATCTTGAAAGATTACTTCCACCATGTTCCTAATGATCCTCCAATCCAGCTGATTTCCTTCTATCTTCGGCATGGCTAGTTTCTGTACATTGGACTCCAGTACATGCTCCCTTAGACTAAGTAATGCTTCCCATACATCTTGATAGGTGGATCGGTCTTGAAAGGTGTTCTTCGTTAATAAATAAAAAAGATACCGTGACCCGTCTTGAAGTTTCAAGGCTTTTCCAGGGGCTGGTAACTGACATTGGAGTTCTACCAGTCGACCAAACTTCTTACGGAACACATATGCCAGTCCTCGCGCGTCGTTGATGCTGGCGGAAGTACTATGGACCAGCGAGTAGTTTTTCGGAAGCGAGAGCAGATCTTGTTGTTGCTCGGTCGTAACACCATATCTGGCTTTTCCAGTACCTCCATATGCACCCATAAATTCTTTAAAGACACGGTCTGGTGTTTCTTGAAGTTGGTTTACTTCTTCTTCATGGTCACCCTCAAATGGCGCCAGCCTATTTTGGTGCACTACCTTTGGTTTACCGTTTGGGATCTCACTTATACGGTAAATTACATCATTTATTTTATTCTTGATGAGGTACGAACCTTCCCAAGACCTTTGAAGCTTCGGAGAATAACCCTTTTGTCTTTTTGGGTTATGGAGCCAGACTTTTTCGCCTTCCTTGAAATATCCCTCCGTAGCTTGAGTATCGTACCGTTTCTTCATCCTGTCGCTGGCGATTTGGAGATGCGAGCGAACTAATTCATGCATGTCGTCCATTCTTCTTCGTAACTGGATCACATAATCTTCACCAGCTACATCTTCTCCAGGTCGGCATCCAAACTCGAGGTCGCACGGTAGTCTCATCTCACGCCCAAACAAGACCTTTGCTGGTGTTTGGCCTGTTGATTCATTGACAGCGGATCTATAAGCCATTGCAAAGAGCGAAAGATACTGATCCCAATCTCGCTGATGGTTTGAAACCACTTTTGACAGATATTTTCCAATGATCTTATTCATTCGCTCTACCATTCCATCGGATTGTGGGTGCAATACTGTGGTTCTGGTCTTCTTCATACCTAGTCTGTCACAGATTCCACGGAAAAGTTGACTTTCAAAATTTCTACCTTGGTCACTGTGGATCTCCAAGGGCACTCCAAATCGACAGATAAACTCTTTTATCAATACATCTGCAACAGTTGCGGCCTCTTGATTTGGAATGGCATAGACTTCCACCCACTTTGTAAAATAGTCCATAAGCACCAAAATGTATTTATTACCATCCTCGGTCGCGGGGAATGGTCCAGCAATATCTAAGGCGATCCTCTCAAATAGGCTACCAACGTTGTATTGCTTCATGGGTGCCTTCCTTTTTCGTTGAGGTCCATTACTCATAGCACAGGTGGTACATTTCTTACACCAGTCCTTTACATCATCGGAACTGTTCATCCAGTAAAACCTTTCCCGAACTCTCTGAAGGGTTTTCCTAACACCGAGATGTCCTCCTGTCGTGTAACTGACGGAGTACTTCAGCTACTCTACTTCTTGGAATGACCAACTGTCTTCTGTTCTCGGAACCATCATCATTTTCAATTACTCGCTTTAATAAGCCATCTTCCAGGATAAAGGAGTTCCACTGAGCCAAATACGACTTAAGTACTGGAGAGAGATTAGATACTTCTTGCCAAGTAGGTCGACGATTTTCCTCTTTCCATTGTCGCATCTTCTTTAAAACGGTATCATTCTCTTGTTCTTCCCTAATTTTAGCAGGAGCCCACTCATCGTTGACTACAGTTGTTCTTAGTAGCCCACTTTCTTTGGATTCCGCTTTGTTGCAGTGGGAGGACTCTGCTGGACATGGTCTTCTAGAGAGAGAATCGGCATTTCTGTGACTTATTCCGGCTCGATGTTCTATCTGAAAGTCGTATTCTTGAAGTCGTTCAATCCATCTGGCGATTTGACCCTCTGGGTTCTTAAATTGCATTAACCACTTAAGGGCTGCATGGTCGGTCCGGATTAAAAATTTCCTTCCGTACAGATATTGGTAGAAGTGTTCCACGCACTTTACAACTGCCAGGAGTTCTCTTCTAGTGACGCAGTAATTTTGTTCAGGTTTCGA